TTGGGGGCGGGGGAGGCCAGGAGCTGGGCCCCTGAGGTTGGCGCAACACCCCTCTGTCTACAGAGGAGTGTCACAGCCGCCATTTCAAGGTTTTGCGCCTGACTCCAGCCCTGGGAGGTGTGTGGGGAGGCTGATGAGGAAACTGAGGCTTTGAGATGTAAAGGGATTCTGCCAAGGTCACAGTGGGCAAGTCACAGAGCCCGGCTGGGGTCTCCTGAATCCAGGGTGGGCATCTTTCTACCACACCCTCTGGGGTCAAGGCTGATCAGCTACAGACCTTCCCAAGGAAGACCACATGGTCAGTGGTCAGGTACCACTGCCCACACTTGTGGGTTCCATTGCCAAATCTGCAACACTCAGGACTGTGGGGTTCCCGGGGGGGAATAAGAATACTAATACTGTCAACACTAACGTGACCCAGGCAGTGCCAGCCACTGTGCTAAGCATTTTATAGTCATCATCTCCTTTAGTCCCAGAGTAATTCTTCCTCCGTTTTACAGATGAGGAAGCGGAGACCCTGAGAGTTGAGGTGACTGGCAGAAGCAGAAGTGGAAACCTATGTCTATATAATCTCGAAGGACAGCACGGCCTCCCTGTCTCCTCCGCAGGTGTCCTTGCCAAGTCATCGGAGGAATGTCCAGGGTCCAGTTCTTCTTTGCTCCCAGGCCAAAAATGTCAGCAGTAATAATAATAATAATAAGCAAACCCCTCTGTTTCTTTATAACACACTTGAGAGTGTGCGGGGCACTTTCACATCCATTCATCCCATTTGACCCCACAGGTCTTGGGGCTTCTGGCAGGACTGACTGGCCATAGGAAGGCCTTGTCCACATCCCAGCTCGTGGCACGGCAGGCGCCAAGACCCACACTTGAGCCTTCTCTTCAGGGTCCAGGACTCTTTGCCACATACCTCTCTACTCTCTCTCTCTCTTCCGGGTCATCGGCCAGAGCCAACAGCGGTCATTCTGCCCGGCCCGGGTGCAGAGCCACCTCTCTGGTAAAGCCACCGGAAGCCTGGGAATGGCTGCGGCCCCGCCTCTCTTAGGCAGCTGACCTCCAGGTTAAGTGAACGGGCTCTGGAGTCGCTCACATGTGGATGGGAGTCTCCTGGTTGCACAGATTCATGTTAACCCGTTCCTTCCCCCTGAAAAAATATCAGTAATAATCGTACCTGTGTGATAGGATTGATATGAAGATGGAAAAGGGTCATATATGTGAAGTGTTTAGCCAGTGCCTGCCTACGGTGAGCACTAAATTGAGGGTAGTTATTTCCATCTTTATGATGAGTGATTGATTCACGTGTTCAAAAATATGAGTGCTCCTGCCGTGTGGCCAGCCCATGCTAGGTTCTGAGATGTGAATAATACTCAGCCTGTGCCTTCAAGGAGCTCAGTCTAGGGATAGGGGCAGACAGAAACAGATCATAAACAGATGCAGGTGGTAGCAGAGGGCCTAGGTGTGTAAAATGCTGTGCAGAGAGAAGACATAGATTCCTCTTTCTCCAAACCACCTGTCTGTTCAGCCTCACCTTTCTCAAGATCCAGCACTTCCACATTTTTCTAAAGATCTTATCATCATGGAGCTGGGTCTTCATTTTCACTCCATCTCTGGGGGGAGGTGTGAGAAACTTCTGCTCTATCATGAATCCTCAAAGCACTATCAGTTTGTTAAACTCCCTATCACAGAAAGTGTTGGTACTGGTAAATATTCACAATATTTACCTATTGGATCTTTCGAAAAATATATTCCCTTAAAAGAACACACAAGCAAACAAAAAATATAAAGAAAACAGGTCCCTCTTCCCCCTCCTTTTCTTCGCCAATGCAGAACCTGGGCCCAGGGAGGGTCGGTGATTTACCCTCCAGTCTTACAGAGAGCATGTGTTGAAACCATGTCACCACTACCAGACCAGTGGCTGTCCCCGCTGCCTCATTAAAAAGTTCTGGAAACGCCCCAAGTGCCCATCAGTGGATGAATGGATAAAAGAACTGTGGTACATTTACACAATGGAATACTTCACAGCCATAAAAAAGGAACTCTTACCTTTTGCGACAGAATGGATGGACCTGGAGAGTATTATGCTAAGCAAAATAAGCCAGTCAGAGAAAGACAATACCATATGACCTTACTTATACATAGAATCTAATGAACAAAATAAACTGATGAACAAAATAGAAACAGACGCATGGGTACATGGAACAGACTGACAGCTGTCAGATGGGTGGGGGAAAGGGCATGGATGTAAGAAGGTGAAGAGATTAGCCAAAAACCATATATACATAACCCGTGAACACAGACTACAGTGTGGTGATGGCCAGAGGGAAGTGGGGCAGAGGTTAGGTGGAGGTGGGCAAAAGAGGGGAATATGGGGACATCTATAATAGTATCAACAACAAAAATAAAGTTTGTGCCCTCGCTGGTTTGGCTTAGTGGATAGAGCATCAGCCTGCGGACTGAAGGGTCCCAGCTTCGATTCCGGTCAAGGGCACATGCCCGGATTTCGGGCTCAATCCCCAGTAGGGGGTGTGTAGGAGGCAGCTGATCAATGATTCTCTCTCATCATTGATGTTTCTATCTCTCTCCTCCTCTCTCTTCCTCTCTGAAATCAATAAAATATATTTTTAAAAATACTAATAAAGTTTAAAAAAACAACAACACATGTTTCCCCCAATCTGGAATCAAACTGACATTCAAATCCAGATGGTGTCTGGATTTACCCCCTTATGGGTCACATCTATGCACTTTTCTTTTTAATCCTCACCTGAGAATATGAGGATATGTTGTTGTGTGTGTTTTTTAATTGATTTTAGAGAGGGGGTGTGTGAGAGAATGAGAGACAGAGTTGGAGACAGAGAGAAACATTGATGTGAGGGAGAAACATCCATTGCTTGCCTCCCCGATGCACCCTGACCAGGGATGGAACTCACAACTAGGTATGTGCTCTGACTGGGAATCGAACCTGCCACCTTCGGGTGCATGGGGCGATGCTCCAGCCTCCTGAGCTACCCAGCCAGGGCAGCATCTATGCACTTTTTTGACTTGTATCACCTCATTTGCTTCTTCCCTGTACTCAGTGATTGAGAAGAGTGAGCGCGATTACCCCCATCACAGACTAGGCTCCCCAGGCTTCGAGGTTCAGTGATGGCCCCCCAGCCTTGCAACGGAGTGTTTCTAACTCCAACCCCAATGTTCCTCCTGGCTACCCTGAGCAGGCGAGCGTGCTGAGCGCCTCACGTCCTTGTACAGGTGGAAACCCCAATATGTGTGACGAGTGAGAAAAGACTGAGCAATGCTCTGCTTCTGGTTTCTGCTGAGACATTTCTTGGAGACTTCTCAGCTCCAGCTCTGGACAGGATACTGAAAGAAAACCACGACAAAATTTCCCAAACTCTACAATCCGGAGAGGTGTTCGCCTTTGGAAAAAAACTCACAAAAGTGAACTTTCTTTCTTATCTCCCCTCTTCTCCCCAAGTTGGTCTTGCATAAGCAGGCTGCCCTGCCATTGGGTGACGAGGATGTCGGGGATGTCGTAAGGGAAACGCTTACAGGCACTACAGGAATGACCTGGTGCCTCGCCCACCTCATTACAATTCTAATTGGGGTGTGTAGGAGAGGCTTCTATAAATGGTAAGGCAGTCCTGGGCAGGCACTCATCTCCCCACTTCTCCCTGCCATTCCCAGTGAAACGCCAAGAAGAGGAAGAGACGGCAGAAGGTGAAGCATGGCTGGTGAGTGCATGACATCTTCTCTACCTGGTCTTAGCGGGAAGCCCGGCTCCTCCTGGGCCAGCGGAGAGGCTAGTGTCCAGCCCAGGACAGCTGCCTTGGGGGCTCCAGGGGCTTGATCTTTGTATATTAAGATTCTGTTCTTTCTTGGTAGCTGCCCAGTCCCTCTAGAGTGGTTCCAGGGGTAGATCATATGTGGGATGTAGTCCTGAGTAAGGGGCAGGATATCCAGCATCCCTTTAGACCAGTGGTTCTCAACCTTGGCTGCACATTAGAATCACCTGGGAACCTTTTTAAAATCCTGATTTCTGGGCCTCATCCTCCGGAAATTCTGTTTCTTTGTTACTAATGTTGTGGCCCCACCCCATAACAAAGAAACAGAATTTCTGGAGCATGGGGCCAAATCAGGAT